TCAGTCAGCCTCAGCCCTGTATACCCATCCTGCAGGCAGCCTCAGCCCTGTATACCCATCCTGCAGGCAGCCTCAGCCTTGTTCCATCAGTGGAGGAAACTTAGATTCCAGGACTGAAGCAGCTTACACAGGATGTGGCCAGATAGGGGGCAGCATTTTGTACTGAAGCCACTCTTCCTACATTTCTTTCCACTACTGTCTCCTAAAACCATCCACTCTTCTCTTTGAAGCCCCCTTGTGCTTTGAAATGCAGCATATTGAGCTTTCTTCACATGGAAGTGGGAAGATAAAGAACTTGGAGTCAGAGTTTTTGCTTGCGCTATCCTGCGCCTTTCCTTTGGTCCTAGGCGGTCTGCTCAGTGTCCTGAGTGAGCTCTGTCCCCTCCATCATTTCTTACAATGCCAGCACAGTCAAGCCAGGCATGGTGGCACACACCTGTAAACCCAGCACTTTGGTCTCAGATGGCAGAGGCAGGAGGATTACTACAAGGCTTGTTCTACACAGTTCCAGACCAAAACATAGCGAGACCCTATCTCAGAACCTCAAAAGAACTACAATAACAAGTGCAGCTTCAAGGAAGTAAGATGTAATGCTTTATTGTCTGAGGGACTGTAGGCAGAGCCTACCATGTGCTCTTTGAGGAAGGATGCCATCTTCATTACAGCATTCAAGCATGTCCCATCAAGCTTTCAGACATTCCTGGAACTATCCTGAGACAGTAGCTGGAAGAAGAAGGGCTTTTTGACTACAAAATGAGTTCCAGGAGGGGGCAATTAGAGGCAGGTTTTCAATCACTCCAAAGCCAGGTCTCAAGCTAGCTCTAGTCCCTCCACAGCATGGGCATGGAGTCTAGCAAGAGTGTCAAACCCATCTCTGGTAAGGCCTGGCACACTTGGGCATTAAGTGGAATTGTATTTCATTTGATTGTTGATGAGGCTTCATGAAATTTCAACTTTCTGAATGTTTCCTTTAAAAAAACCCACAAGTACCTGGCTCTAGCTTAGCCCAGACAGTGAGAAATCTTAGATCCTGCAAGCGGTTGCTATCGTTGCAAACTGAATTTGATGATTTCATGGTGTTGTCTAGACATAACCAGGAACTGAATCCTCCCAAAGAAAATTTGCAGTCAGCACAAGTGTGGGAGACCCTCCAAAAGAACAGAAGAAACTGCACAAAGAGGCCTGGATTTGTTTTTTCATGTGGATACTTTTTCATGTGTTTTCTGTCTAGTCGTGCTAGATACTGCAGTTGTCAGTAGCCACATGTGGCTCCTTAAGTTGAAACTCATCCAAGGGAATTTTCCATTTCACTCCCATTAAGCATCTCTGCAGTAGCCAGCATTTGATTGGACAGGAGAGATTCAGGACTTTCCAATTATGTAGAAAGTTCTACCAAACAGTTCTGCTCTGGGGTGGGATCCCATGTTGACATAGTAGCTTATCTCCCTGCCTCAGCTACCCCCACCCTTGTGTTCAGTTGCCAAGCAGAGCTTTTCTTGACTGTCTCCTAAGAAGTAGAAAGTGGCCCCCTCTCTCTCTGCTAACATAAGCTGTTAGTATCCCAGGGAGAATTAGTCTTCATTAGCATGTACCTTGCTTGTTAAATCATGCACTTGGGAAAGTAACATGCATCTGGGTGCCTGCGATCACTAGGTGTCCTTAATACTACCCACCTGTGCACAGATACAAATCACTTAAGTTAATCCATTCCTCCTGGGCCCTCTAAATGGATAATCGAATTGATTCTTTTGCAGCCTCGGCCTAGGTCCTAGTTTAGCTCTAAAAGCCTTGTGTCTCCCATATGCATACTCCTGTCCACCTCAGACAACAAGAACTACACATTTTGGCCCTGCTGAGAGCACAGGCCATGTATTAGTTAGTCATCGCCATGTCTCCAGCACCTGCCTAGGTCTTGGCAGGTGGGAAATACACTGGCAATGTTTACTGAAGGCATTAATTAATCCATTTCCTAATCAATCAAGATGCCTTTGGTTCTCCCAGTAGGATGCTCGCTGATTATTCCTAAAGAGAATTCATTCCCCAGCACAGCAATTTGAAAAGCCAGCAGCACATCATAGTCACTGAGGACCTGTGGAAACTTCGAAAAACCAGCCCCCCACCCCCTCCCCTCCAGCAGAGTGGGAGAACAGGGGCTGGGGTCTCAGAGTTTTGTAAACGCCTTCCCACAGGATTGTGTTATGCAGCCCAAGATTATATTATAAACCATGTCAAGTTCCTGCCTTGTCAGCCATAAATATGATTTCATCGTTTTGGATGTTTGTGCCCATATCCTATCTCATCGGCAGTCATTTTTACAGCAGGAGCAACATTCATCTGATCCCCCTTGTCCAGTCCCTCGGTTGTGGAACCATTATGCCCATACTATGGGAAAGGAAGCTCCCCATGGGGACTTTATTTTGGGGTCTTTATGACAAGTCAGGATAGAGCTATACTGAAACAGTGTGGGAATATAATCCCTTAAATCTCTTCTTGGAATGCTGAGGTCCAGGTATATTTGTCACTGTTGAGTTTTTAAGAGCAAAATACAAAGTAAATAGGAAAAAAATACCAAAAGAAAAGTCAAGAATTGAAGATAATTGCTAAGCCAAGCTGTAACTCAGTGTTCCGTGTGAGTAAAGCAAGTTCTGGGTGTGTGGGAAGCAAAGGGATGGATACCAGGCCCTAGATATGAGTCTCAACTGGGAAAGAGGACATTGCATAGAAATACATCTCCACTGGCCAGAGTGTACTGTCACCTAAGGTCACACCAGACAGGAGGAAGAAGCCTGGAGCATTGACCAAGCCAAAGTCAGACAGCAGAGGACCAAAGATATCAGAGATATCACGTGGCATTAGATGGTCTCGTGAAACTGCCTAGAAACAAGGCCAGGATGAGGAAATGAAGTCAAGAACACACTATGGGTTATACATTCTAGTCCCAAACACCATGTAACAATAGTTTCCTCACATTATAAAGCCCATGTAGATATGTTATTAAAATGGGCCACGAGATAGGAGATGATACTAAATAATAGCCCCAATTTATTGAGCATCTACTTTGTGCCAATACCAAACAAGGCTGTCCATACGTCTCAGTAAGAGAATGGCTCCATACCACTGCCGAGAAATTGAGAAAAGTGTGCCTCCTTGACTTCCAGTGTTATGTGACAAGAGTTGGCATGACCAACTCCTAGGAGATGTATTTATCTAGATTCCTAGACCTAGATTCTGAATGTACAGAAATCACCCATCCTGCCTCACCTCTGCAACTCCCCAGAGGCCACCTCTTCTGTCACCAGGAAGGTGACAGCCGCATGCCAATGCTAGAGGTCCTCCCACATTTTCATTATGTGGGACATGGTGAGGCTTTTATGAGACTCCACCACGGGCTGTTTTTCAAATTTATTTAATTCATCCATCATGTTCTGAAGCCATTTGCTTTTTTATATTGGACAGATGTAATGAGATTTTGGACACTAAAAAATGTTTTTATTAAAAGTTATGACCCAGAGCTAGTTGGTAGGGGCCCTGCCATAAATCCCCAGGAGTGTGTGAATTTATAAGGGATGTAGCGACATAACCTCAACCTTCTAGGCCACACCATAGATTACTTGGTCACCTAGGCTATTGCTCTCTTCCCACGACCCACACACCTGTGGCTAAATAACAATACTAATAATTATCAGTGCCATTGGTAGTGGAAGTATTGTGACTTTTCATCTCATCATTGCCACAGTGAGATAGAACCTGGTGGAGACAGGTGGCAAGATTTGTGGATGGTTCTTCTGAATGGCAGTGGTCCTGGGCATGTTGATTCTCTTGCCCTACTCTACATCCTATGGATGGGAATGAGAGAAATAGCAGACACAGTTTCTGTGGACAGAGTAAAGGTGACTTTGGTAAATGATCAATATTGTAAGAGTGGACAACAGTCTCTCCATTCCTCCATTGCCAACACTGGGCCCTATTCAAAATAAGGAAGTAATGTCATCTCTCTGTACATGCCCAATGACTCAATTTGAATGCCAGTAGACACAGATTCTATTAACATTGAGCTGCTTGGAAATTATCCAAAGAATAATTAGCTGGTATGTATAGACCAAAACAAGGTTATTAAAATATGTAATAAATATTACACATTTTGTATAATATGTAACATAGTCAATAGAATTAAAAGTTAAAAGAATAGTTCGTTTGGGTCAGCTGCCAGCCACTTGTTAAGACATGGATTTGTTCATTTCTGTTGGACAGTGCTATGAATTAGACCCTCAGGAACTGCAGGGCATTTAGGAATGCCCTGTGTGTGCAGGAACTGCACACATGAGAGAAATCTCAATAGAACAGGTGCAGCAGAGGTGCTGAGGACTCCAAGAGGAAGAAGTCTGATGGCAGAGGTGGCATTCATCTGGGCATAGGAAAGTAGGAATGCTTACTGGGATGCAAAGAGATTGCTGAGTAAAAAGAGCAGCTGGCATAAAAGATGTGCTCAACTTGCTAATGACCAGCGTGTGTGTGTGTGTGTGTGTGTGTGTGTGTGTGTGTGTGTGTGCATACAAATATGAAAATGTCATAATGAGACCCATTATTTTGTATACTGCTAATAATTTAAACAATCATCAATAAAAAACAGTTGAGTATGGCTAATGTCACATGATGGCATATCTTCATTTTCAATGAAGACTGTCCACTGTAGACACCTTGCTCTTACCCTCTTACCTATAGACACTGCTGCACCTAGCTGAGTGGTGTGCATAATTGCCGGAAGATGGACTTTAGACTTTACAGACATGCTGTTGCTGTATCTCTCAATCAGGCCTGTGCTTTATCATCTGGTTATGCTGGAAACATATCCCAGGGTTTTCACCATACATCAGAATCAACTCCCGCCTACTGCGACCACGGGAGTGTAAACCATAGCTACCGTCATCATTAAACTCATAAATCCATGTCATTTGTGTGTCGTTCACTCCATCCTCATTCATCATCCCTTGCACTTGCAGAATAGCCAGCCATTGGAGGATTTTGAAGAGCGTTTTGCTGCAGCCACGCCGGTAAGAATGAGAGAGCCCTATCTGTTTAACTGTTTCATGTTGTTGGACCATCACTCATTTCATGCTCATCAATCATGCCTTGTGGTTGCAGAACAGACATCTGTCAGTGGACTTTGATGAGCTTCTTGAGGCAACCAAGGTAAGACATCCAGGTTCCTGTTACATTTGAGTTTGTCTGGTCATCCTCATATGTCTCATGTGTCCCTCATCCACCTGCATAAATGGCGATTTTTTTGACTCCATGATGCTCCAGTAGGTGCCCATTTTAATGTTAACAGGAAAACTAAAGATGCTGTGAGGTCCAATAGTAAAAGTGTATTTACAAACTGGGAGCTGAGAGAGAGAGAGAGAGAGAGAGAGAGAGAGAGAGAGGAGAGAGAGAGGAGAGAGAGAGAAGAGAGAGAGAGAGAGAGACATAGAGAGAGAGAGAGAGAGGCAAAGAAATAGCACCTCTTAGTTTCACTCATCCGGTATTTTGGAGGCCTCCTAACACATTCCAGACATTTGGTGGTGGAGGGGAAGGAGGATACAACAAAATCTTAGTGTCCTAACAGAAAGGTGAGTAGGCAGTGTGGAAAAGAGTGACTGACTGTGGAAGGAGCTCATGCAGAAGTCCGAAGATGGATTTCCTTTCAGATCCTCTATACCCTGCCCTCGTTAGCACTGCATGAACTGACTGTATAGGTCTGCCTTCCTTCCGTGAATCAGCCAGCTCCTGAAAATAGGGGCAGGAGCATGATATCCTCAGGTCTGTGTCCCTGTTCTCGGCACAGTAGCTCGTGCATAAGAATCCCTATCATTTCCCAAAGAATCCCAGGATCTCCTGTTCCCAAAACATAGGGATCAAGCCTGTGAGAGAATGTGTTGTGGGAGTCAAACCATGACATCTCATTCTTCTTCAATTGTGCCACCAAAACGTCCCCTCAGAGGGATTCTAGGACTACTTATGTTGAAAGAAGGGCCAGGGGACTTACCTTGCACCAACAGTTTTGCAGTGTTCTATATACCTTGGAAACTATCACTTGTTCAAAATAAAGTGGCTAGGCCAGGACCAGGCCTGAGGGAGATATTGAGGGGCTTGACCTAAACCTGTCAGTTCCTTATCTCCATCATTGGCCATGGCAGCCTCAGCATCATTCCACCTACTGCTGGAAAATACCCAGTATCTTCTAAAAGAAACATATCTGCTACTTACAGCTACACCTCTACAGAAGGTCTTTGAAATGCTTGTGTGGTGGGTAGGTCCCTCTATAGTGAGCAGACACCTGGAATGGAAGCTGCAAATAACCTCCCATGGGTGGGCAGCATAGCAAGTCTCTTGGGAACCCTGGCTTCTGGTGGGAAGATATCATAGTGCTAACTACCACCATTAAGCAAGGCTGACAAGGGCTTGGTGAATCAACAGATGGATTGAAAAAGGGTCTTGTTGCTCTGCAGGGCAATGTACCCCAAGCTCCCCCCTCCAGCTGATCCCAAGCAGGTCACTCACCTCAGCCTCAGTTAACCGATCTGTAAAGGACAGACTGTGATGATGGAGCTGACTTTCCTGGGCTCACGGAGTGTCAGACATGATGATAATGTATGGGAAAGCTTATTGTGAGCTGTAAAGTGTTTTACAAATGTGAACTCTTAGCTTTATTCTCTTGAGGCCTTTAAAATGATGGATGAGGACAGTATTTTCAGATGGAACATGGTTTATTAGGTTACAAATAAGTGGCTGGGGCTCACATGGGGGAGGACTGTGAAAATAGATACTGTTCCTGATTCTCAATCATATGTGGTTATTCAGATTATTTTTAATTTTATGGCCCAAGAACCCCCTTTTTCTATAAAATTTAATTAACTCGGGGTTCTATTTAAACAGCAAATCCAATGAAACGAAATAACAGCCTATGTTTTATGCCTCCCCATGTTTTTCTCGTTTAATCCTTGAGTGAAAATCATTTGGCAAAAGGAAGGGCTATATCTCAAGAAAGAAGGTTATTTTAAAAGTTGTGCTTAAGGAGAAAATTAGCCAATAAATTATCTTTACGATGTTAGTAAAAGTATGCCATGAGTTCAACACATTTGAGATGTAAATTGTGTGACTTAATTATTAACTTCATTTTAATATTTTCCCAATGCTGAAAATAGTCCTGAGCCATTTTATAAGCATGGAGATCCAAACTCCAGGAAGCCCAGAAGCCTCAGTTGAATTCATTAAGTAGCTAGTCTTTTATGCAGAAGAAGGGACCAAAGAGTAGGCCTCACTATGTCAGGTGAGATGTGTGGGCATGCCAAAGAAGGCTTGCAGAAGAAAATAGCAGAGTCCAGATTGGGGAGCACACCCTACATGCCAGCTACCATGTGCACATCAGCTGCTGGATTGTCACAGTGTGAGAAGAGAGCTGTTAGGAGAGAGTCAGTGAGGAAGACTGGGAAATGTACACAAGTGCTTTTACAGCCTTGCCCAGCCCCCTTGTTTGTCTCTTCTCCCTGCAGAGTTTCATGCTGGTAACACCAAACAGCTTGAACACCTCCCCTAGTGTTCTTCCTGGCTAGTTTAGTTTCATGAGTCCTCAGGGTCCTTCCTCTTCTTTGTCACCAGGTTAACTGTACCTCTCCTGCAGCATTTGAAGACAGGCTGTTTCTCTTGAAAAACTCTGACTAAATTCCCTACCCCTAGTAGACAAGGTTCCAGTTGCCCCCACCCCAAGACTTTGGTCATCCTCCTCTCTGTCCTGTTACCATGAAGGAATCTGCATCTGTGGACTGCCATCCCCAATATACAGTCATTACCTGCAGTTGGAACTTGGCAGTTCTTTCTATGCCCCTAACACCTCATGCAGTGTCCAGCAGCATATTTCGTCTTCAAGATTTGTGGGAAGAATGGTGTGTACTTGGGTAGAAACAAAACAGACTGTGTGTGCCAGATACTGTAGTTCAATCTGAGAGCCCAAGGGGAATGAATGGAAGTGGAACTCACACAATGGAGCTTCATTCTTGTCAAGGAAAAGGGTCTTTTGTGTCATTCAGCCAGCCTTAGCCAAGTATGAGAACAAACAAGCCCTGCTATTGTGAGCATCCCTTGTTGGAAATGCTTAGGACCAAATGTGCTTTAGGATTTGAAGTTGGCATATATTCAGAATGACATACCTTGGGGATTGAACCAAAGCCTACACAAAATTCCTTTCTGCCTCGTATATACTTCTACCCATTCCTTGGGTATAGCTTCATACGGTGTATTGAGTGTCCCAGCATTTTTACCATGACCCTTACTGGGAATCAAGTATAGATAGAGTTTTCCATGCATGGCCTCTATGAACACTCAGAATGCTTGGGGTTTGGAATATTTGAGGTTTTGTGTTTTCAAATTAAGGATGATAAATCTATATAACATATAAGGAGATACTATCAATTCCATCATCCTTCTGAGGAAGTGAAGCTTGGAAGGTGCTTGGAATGGTTAGAATCATCATACACACCCAAATGTTGGAGCCTTCTCCTGAACTCAGAGCTGCCTAACTCATCAGAATGAACAATCATTCCATTTTTTATATGAATCCTGTAGATCCAACTATGACCAAGCTACAGATGAATGTCTGTGGGGGACCAGAAAAGCAGGGCAGCCAACTTCTTCCTGTACCTTCTGTTAACTGGGTTTTATGGTTACCTGCATCACAAGCCCTCACTTAAGATCTGAAGATGAGTGGGAAATAGTTTTTGCTCAGTGGACAGGTTCACACAAAGTGTGTGATTATATGCTTTGCATAATTAAGTAGGGACATTTGGTTCCTAGCCAAAGAATCCCTATGGTCCCTGAAGCTAAAGTGTATGCAGATTAATTCCTAAGTGTATCTTAAAATGGTTCTTCTGCTCTCTGGCCAGGCTTTTGCACATACCCTGTATGATGGACGGGAAGATGGATGGTCCAGTGTCTGTAGGGATGGAGTTCCTAGGAGTGATTGATAGTGTGTATACTGGGCTGGGTTTGATGCCCTTCCTAGTGTTAAATGAAATGTTTTCTTCTCATCAACCACATTTTTTTTTAATCCCAAAGACAGACTTTGGGGAGGAATGCATGTTTGACTGCATGCTCTCTGTCTAGAAAATTCAAATCCCGACATCCTGACTTGGATGACCCTGGTGTAACCTCCCTGTGAATCAGTTCCTTTACAGAAAATGTGAATAAGGGTTCCTACCTCTCAGGGCTAGGGTTGTGGGGAGTATTAACTGACAAAGGACCATGTAGTCATCCCTTGTTCCTATAGGGGGCGGCTTTTGAATGGGTGGTTTCTGCACTTGAGAGAATATATCCTGTCATAGGGTTGCATTTCTGTCCATGGCTGCATTTGATAGCGCATAAGGATAAAGTGCTGTTAACACTGTTTATAGCAGTTGGGTGCCACTCAACAAACCTAGAGAAACAACTGGACATGGAGAAATAAATTGATTGTGGTTCTATCAAAGAGTGTTGCCGTGGTACCATGAGGTATAGCAGTGAACGACAAGGCCTCACCGTTTACATGGTGATGGAGGGAAGGGTGACTACTCTCACATAAAGTTTTAAAACAAGCCCTGCAGTATTCACTCTCCTGCTTACACAATTCTCTCTGTGTCTTTTTCAGGCTGTGACCCAATTAGAACTTTTTGGAGACATGTCCACCCCTCCTGATATAACCTCTCCCCCAGTAAGTATACATTGCCCTCTGAACCCTGCTGCCTGGCCCCTTTCCCCCAGCCACACAGTGACACAGTCTGGGCTTTGGTGAGAGAGCCTGGCTGGTAAATTTCAACTAATCTTCCCAAACCTAAGTCTCCTTTACTATGAAGGAGAAAGAACTTGGATGAATATCTGTGGTTTGAGGAATAAATGACATCACGCACTCAATGCATTCGTCAACCTCAGGACATTGTGGCTTGCTCTTCGGGCTCTAGGAAGGGAGATGGGAAAGATACATAGTTTGAGCCCACCAAAAGCGAGTAGCTGAGTTGAGTTGGGAATATGGACAAGAAACTCAACATGGCAGGAAGCATGGGAGGGCATGTGTCATCACCTACCTGATCCCCCACAGCACAGTGGGCAGCCCCTTCTACCTCATCCTTTCTCCCCTCCCACTTCACTCTGTGTTCACTGTGCACTGGCTTGCCTTTGAGCCTTGTAAACCCTGATCTGTGCCTCCCAGAGCCACTCATGAAACCCCAGCTTCACAGCCTCACCTCAGTAACAGCATCTGGAGCACTGCTTGCAAGAGGATTGAGATTGCATGGAGCCTTCCTTTGAACGTACAAAAGGAAAGGGAAAGTGGAAGAAAATTGAGTTAAAAACAAAGCAAAATAGCACATTAGTGCTGGACACTGTCACCAGCAATCCTGCCTCTGCAGCGGCCAGCATGCCATCTTCAGCCACAGCCACCCCCACCCCAGCTGCTTCCCAGAGGTGTGGAGAGAGAGAGCAGTCAGCCCCAGCTGCACCAACTGAAGCTGCTGGTCATGGACTGCTCTGCTGGGCACCACTCGGTTGTGCAAACAGAGGCATAGTGCTATGGTTCATTGGTGAGATGCACCTCACAGAGAAAGGGCTGTGATCTCACCACCCAGGACAGATGGCCTGAGACCCTGCAGCCCACAGTTGCCACTGGGGAATCCAGGCACAGCTGCCCTGCACCCAACACCTTCTTTACCCCCTGCATTGTACAGATGAGCAAACTGAGATCCAGGAAGGACTTGTAGGGGAAATGGAACAGCTCTGACTATGTGCAAAAATGCTTAACACAGCAGCTCAGGGCTGCATTTCTGGCCCTGAACCCAGGCGCCATCCAAATGGATGTTTAGTAATCCCCAAAACAATGCCACTCGTCCCGGAAGCTGATGGTCTAAAAATGGCCCTGTCTAATTGCCATGGTTTCAGGATTAATTGCTTGCCCCAGTCTGTTCAAATGGAGGGGGGCAGGGACCAACAAAGATATTATAGCATCAAGCAGCTTACACTCTGTAGGCAAAAGCCTCCTGTTAACAGGTGTGGATGTTCTTATTGGTAAATCTCCCCTTACCCAGTATGCATCTGACCTTTCCTGGAGCTCCAGCTTAGGCCAGAAGTTGGTGCTAGAAGTTCCCAGACACCCTGCTGTTGTTGTCATCGTGAAAATATTTCCTTCTCTTTTGCAAGTGGGAGGTTCAAGCAAGAGTATGCAAGGCTCCAGGACACATAGGCCTACAGACCATCCACTCACCAAGATTTGTTTATTTGGCCGACTCTTTGCTGACCACCTAATCAATGACAAGCTCTAAACTGAGAATACAGTAGCGTTCAGATTGAATTGACCACTTGCAAGTGGTGAAAGGCATATATGGTGAAATAAGTTGGTGGCCTGAAAATCCCCAGAGATAGGGACTCAATTGAATTATCATACTGGCCATCATGTGTTGAGCATCGACTCTATGCCTATGTGTGGTACTTAAGAAAACTTAAGAAAAATAATCATTTAAGTGCATGGTTTCATTTAGTCCTCACTGCAGCTCTGGAGGGAAGGGGGATAAGATAACGTTTCTGTTCCCAACCCACCGTCTGTGAAGCACACAAGTGACTTGGACTGCGTCTCCTTGCAGCAGTGCTCTCTTCACTCCCACTCCCTCCATCTATGTGGACTGCTGAGCAGCTCTCATGCGTCTGTTCCCTTGCCCCTCTCTGTCTGGCAGACTCCAGCAACCCCAGGTGATGCCTTTCTCCCGTCGTCATCCCAGACGCTTCCGGGGAGTGCAGATGTGTTTGGCTCTGTGTCTTTTGGCACTGCTGCTGTACCCTCAGGTAAGGTCACCATCCTCCCTCCTACTGCCTGTAGCTCTCACTCAGACAACTAACAGATCCAGCACCAAATACTGGTAGAATGCCTAGGGAGCACTTTTCTCGCCTGTGACTCATCAAGAGACATGAGACAGCCATGTCTGTGGTCAAGTGGTCAAACACAAAGCTGTGGATGTTGGTGCCACCTGGGAAATTCCAGACTCAGGGTTGTTGGGAAAACATGGCATCATGCTCACAGACATGCAAATCAGTACAAGTCTGTTTTCTCTCCCTTACTTCAGCCAGAGGCAGGGAAGATGATTTGAAGGAGAGAGGAGACATACCTCTTAAATTCTTGCTGGGATTAAGGAAAGAGAGGTCTCCCACCTATACAGAGAGCCATATAGGACAATGGTGAACTTCTAGTGGTTAAATGAGAATCTTTTTTAGAGATTTAGAAAGTGTCTTTATTTTCCAAGTATTCTTTGAAATGTGTAGACTGTATTTACAACAGGGTAAAAATACCTGTGATCACAGTACTGCATGTAAGTTAGAAATGAGTAGCATCCCAGGGGTTATACTTTATGTTCATGATAATCAGCCACCCAGGTAGCTAGGTCGTTCTTGGAAAGGGCCACTGATGGGAGAGTTTAGTTCTTTTAACTCTCTGGGATCCTAAAGGAGTATTGCATTTTCCTCTACCTATGTTATCTGAGTTGGAGGCTCATTATTTCTTTCTTGGCTTTATTCTTGTAAACAGCAAATGAGAGCTTGAATATTTCAGAATACATATCTGCTTGTGATTTTTTATGTAAATAATTAATTTTAATTATATAGTGTTAGAAGCAAATTCTTGATACTAAATATAAACCTTGCTGTTATTGTATGTAAATTAAAAATTCATAGCCTGTTCTGGAATACAGCTCCTCCTCTTGAGTGTAACGATGATCACAAACTTTTAAAAGCAATAAAGTTGATAGCGACTGCCCTTGACTTATAGCTTAGTATCTATAGGCAACCTAGAAATGTATTCATTTCCAAGTGCCCCTCCCCCAGCTGAATGTTTTAGTCATCTCCAAAATGGGATAGTGGTGATGAGTTATTTTCTGAGTATAAAATGGACATTAAAATCTAGAGAATGGTAAAATAGAATGTGTCATTTAAAATATGAATGGCAGGAATATGCCTGCTCTTGAGCCTTATCACCATATACCATGCTTTGTCCCCATTGCTTTGTCTACCAAGATCAATGAGAACAGTGCTAGACCCTACACTTCCTAATCTTCAGGTGTGCTTACTCTACAAGTATTCACTGAGTATCCACTATATGCCAGCTTCTGTTCCAGGAGCTTGGGATACAGCAGTGAAATAGAGGTCTACCCTCTAGCTGGGGTGATAAGCCATAGTATAGATCAGTTGTACAAACATTAGAATATGAGAGTTATGGGGATGAAAAGATGCATAGAGCAGAGGCTGAACACCAGAGTCCTGGCCAAAGAATGTGTAGTCAAGAGGCTGTCTTAAGTCAGGCAACATCAAGAGGGTGAAGGGCCAAGGAAGCAGACAAGTTTCCTGGTTCAGGGTGCTCCAGGCAGGGGGAGGAAGTTTGACCCTTCCTACTTCCATAGTCTTCTCTTTAAAGGACAAGATGGCCCTAGGTGTGGTTTAATGCCTCCCCCTGCACTTGTATTTGACTGCAAATGCCCTGGAGATCTTGGTTAGACACAGTACTACTCTGCTTTTTCCCAAGACAGCGTCAAGAGTGTAGCCTCCTACTGCTTAACCAGCTATATGTCTTCAAAATGCTATCTCTTTGGAATCTTGAAAAAAATCTGATCAGCTTTCAGAGCATAAGTCTAAAATTAATTTGTGTTGGTGTATTTTTGCATTCTGTCTTCACATAAAATACACTTGAGGGTAGTCCTTAGATGGTGATAATCTGAGCCTTCCCGTCTTTAACTGGTATTTAAATGTCACCAGCTGTTGTACCTCCATCTACCTTGTACAAATTACCTATCTAGCCAGCAATAGGAGACAAGGTCAAGAAGTAGACCAGTCCCACAAAGTCTAGCTGACTGCTGAGGACTTCCAAAGCTCCTGACAAGTCTTGGATCCCGGCTTTAGATGTTGGGGCAGATAATCTGTCAGAGGCAAAATTTCGTCTTCATACCTGGATTGGGAAACAATTCCTTGTATCAATATCATGATAACAAAATGAGATAATTAAGCACCTTGGAAAATGCTGGTGCATTGTAGGTACTCAGTGTGGAATAGGCTGTTATTATTTTATTATTACAGCTCTGTAATAATGAAAGTATTATGAAATACTCTGTATTATGAAAGCTCTGTATTATGAAAGTCAAAGGACATATACCCTATCCTACCCTATCTTTTTTTTAATCTTCCTAGAATTTTTTTCAAACTCAAAGCCAAAATACTGTATTTATAGTAGTAATACATTATGGATAGAAATATTTTCAATAATAAGAAATGGTTCAACATTAGAAGAATTATACATTCATTTAAAAAACTTTAAATTGCCTTCTTAGAGCAAAATTTCTGATAGACTACAGATAGAAGGATATTTCTTTTCCATTTTTAATAATGTTTTGAATCAGATTTTGGGGGGGGGTTGTTTTTCCTGACAAGGTTTCTCTTTGTGTAGCCCTGACTATTCCTGGAATTAGCTCTGTTGACTAGGCTACCCTGGAACTCCCAGAAATTCGCCTGCCTCTGTCTCCCAAGTGCTGGGATTAAAGATGTATATCACCACCGCCTGGCTTTGAATTGAGATCTTAAATAATTTTTTAAAAAAGATTTTACTTATTTATTATGTTATCTGCATTCATGCTTGCACACCAGAAGAGGGCACCAGATCTTGTTATAGATGGTTGTGAGCCACCATGTCGTTGCTGGGAATTGACCTCGGGTCCTCTGGAAGAGCAGTCAGTGCTCTTAACCTCTGAGCCATCTCTCCAGCCCCCATAATTTTTAATGAAATATAAAATTGTTGCCAGGTGGTGGTGGCACACACCTTCCACCCCAGCTCTCAAGAGGCAGAGGCACTTTCTGGAATCTTTTAATGCACATAGTAAAGTTTAGGTCTTTATTCTTTTGACTACTCATGGCAGAGGTAGCTTGGGTGGACTGCAGAACATAGGCTCTGCCACCAAGCAGCTGCAGACTACCCAGCCTGATCTCTGCTGAGCTTAGACCCTTACCTGTAAATTGGAGGGTGATGATTTGACCTCCCAGATCTGAGAGCCTTGTGAGTAGTATCTTGTAGAAGACCTTTGTAATGTTGCCCAGAAATGTGCTTTTAGGATGCTCTGTGGATGGTACCTGCTTCTCATCAGGGGTCCATACTTTTCTAATCATATAACTGGCTGGTGCAAACCATGTCCTCATGGAAGAAGAATTTAGGCATACATATTAAACAGAGAGTGATAATAGCTACCAGAGAGGTTTACTACAAAGATCTACTCTCCCCAAAAGGGGAAGTTAATGTTTTGTTCTTTTCTGCATCTCTAGAGACTGAATTAGAGCCAGGCATCCAACATGGATATTTTTGCATGAATGAATGAGTCAAATAAGTCAATGTAGCCAGGAGGTGCCATACAAGTTTTATACAAATACAGAGACCCTTTGTTTTCCATGTGTTTCTTATAGTTTAGTCTGGTTTTGTTTTCCTTTCTTCAATCATAGGTAGGGGTGTCTAACTGCAAAGTGGGAATGCAGTTAGCTAGCAGCAAAGAGGTTTGTATTACCTGAACTTTGTGACACAAACAGATGTTCCTTGGTACCTCATTCTTCTACTGCTGCACATACTAAGAGGTGTGCAGCCAACAAGTTGTTGGACGGCTGCAGTGGATGCCATGAAGCTGCTCTCTAAGACCAATGCTGCCTTAGTCCTGGTGCTGAGGTACCCCTTCAGGCATGCCTAAGGCCTGTGGCTAGAAAGCTCTCAGGCTGCTCCTTTCCCCCAATGAGGAAAATTGAAAAAGATCTGTAAACTCCCCAACATGGTACCAATTACCCAAAGCTGCCTTTCTCTCTTCTGAATATTATACTTTGGTCTGGAGCAGATGGCTTGGAGCCAGAGAGACATGCTAATAGCTCTCTCCCAAAAATTGTGCATAGCCCATCTGTTAGCTCCCTGTGGGAAAAAAAAGAAAGAAAATATGGGGTGGGGGCTGCCACCAGCAGTGGAATCATCAGAGATCACAGTGCTTGTGGATCTTACAGTGCACTCTTAGGAAAATACGGTGAAGATGTCCATCCTCTTGATGCATACACCAGCTGGTGCTCGTGAACCAAGCCTTGTCGGAGCCTTATGTTCAAGACATCGAAGTGCCACACAGACCCCTAAGTTGTGGTGCAGAACGCTCCTCCTTAGGATTTCTTTCTTTGTGTTTATATGATGGCAGTATGCGTTCAGTAGAAACCACACTGTGAATGTTGATCTTTCCCCAGGGTAACAATATCTGGTTCAGTGCTCTCTGTAGATGCTGGACAGCCACAGGGAGCTGTAGCTCCTAGTCAGCTATGCAATCGCAAGGTTAAAAGGTCATTCCGCAATGTACTGGGCAGCTAAGCCGTCCAGTAGGTTAGACCCTGCAGTCCCTTGAGTTTACTGTGGCTTTTCTTAGGTTATAACCCATCATCAAAGAACAGATGCATCTGCATTTTAGAAGAGAAGTGGGAAGGAAGATGGTGGTGTGTCTGGGTAGAAACTCTCTCACTAAAATTGCCAATGGAGTCACTGGGGTCACTGCAGGGTCCCCGGATAAGTCACCACTTGTGAAGCCTGGATCATTCTTTTTATAACAAATATCTGCAGTGTTGAAACTCCTAGATAATAGCATAATGTTCCAACACCATTTTTAATCAGTATAATGTCATACTGATAGTATGGAATTGAAATGAGAAGTGATTTATAATAAAAGCATGTATTTCAATTTAGAAATACTTAGGCATGACCATACTACAGGACATGATGAGTAATGGAATGATCTTACCTGATAATAGAGTCACCAGGAAAAGCTACAGCTGAAAATACAGACTGAGACCAGCCTCCATGAGAAGTGTTTCTATCTGTGGCCACTATTTTCCAAAACACTCTTGAATGTTCCACATGAAATGAAATATAGTTTTCCTTGAGTGTGCACACTTGTTTCATTCATGGGAAATCATAGGTGTTGACTGTGCAAAGAAACTGAAATTCTGAGCCATTCAGTCCATCTAGGTTTACCCATTCATAAACAGAGAGTGGAATCGTTCATTGTCCTGTGCACTGGTCTTACAAATTATAAGATGTCTGCTATAAATGCTGGTGACTTCTTAAATGCCATGAGTCCCCAGGTTTCCCTGTAGTTACCACAACAACTAAAACATCCCACAGGTTTCTCTCTAACCCCAGAATGGCTCCCTCTATCAAGATACCTCTTTCATTGCTCTCCCTCTCCAGAGTTAGGGAGAAACCAGGTACCAGGGAAACTCCCAAGAATCCACAAGGGTGATCCCAGCTAAGATTCCTAGCATTAGTGGAGAGGGTACCTGAAATGGTCTTCTCCTGTAATCAGATTGGTGAATACCCTAATTATCATTATAGAACCTTCCCCCAGTAACTGATGGAAGCAGATGCAGAGATCCACAGCCAAACTGGGCTGAGTTCCAAGAGTCCAGTTGAACAGAGGGAGGCAAGATTATATGAGCAAGGGGCATCAAGAACATGATGTGGAAACCCTCAGAAACAGCCCATGGGAGCTCATGGGCTCTAGACCAACATCATGAGACTGACCTAGGCCCTCTGCATGTGGGTGACAGTTATATAGCTTTCTCTGTTTGTGGGTCCCCAAGCAGTAGGACCAGGATCTGTCCCTGGTGCATGAGCTGCCTTTTCAGAACCTATTCACTATGGGTGATGCCTCGCTCAGCCTTGATGGCAGGGAGGGGAGGGTGCTTGGTCCTGCCTCAACCTGAAATGCCATACTTTGTTGACTTCCATAGGAGGCCTTACCCTTTCTGAAGAGTAGATGGGAAGGGTAGGAAGGAGGTGGTGGGAGGGAATGGAGTAGAGAAAGGAGGGGAAACTATGGTTGATATATAAAATAAACAAAAAAATTAATTAAAAAACGTTTCACAAATTTCCTCTTTATTCCTGAGGGCAATCCCTCTGAGAATAATTTAGTTATGTCAAAGTACATCAGAAACAAGTGGCCCACTTGTTACTTAGTGTGTTGGTCAAGTCACTGAATTAGTAGGTAACAGATGAAGCAATGTGAACAAATCTGAAGTTTGAACAGTATCCCTCATGCCCAGTACAATTGGACTTGTCTGTTAAGATATATGTTTCATCGTTTAAAGGTCTTTAATGCTGGTTAGATTCACCATCAAGAAGTCCTTGTGTCCTGTCTAGAGTTTCTTCCTGGGGCAGCATGGCAGGAAGGTATAGAAATGACCAGACTTTGATTGTCAACTTCACCCTGAATCAACCTGTTGAGGGGCATTATAATCTGGGACCAAAACAAGGTGCTGTGTACACAATCACTGTGGGCCCACCAGAGTTACTGATAGGAACCATGATGTTATCATTACCACAGCACCTGTCCATCATCCCTTTAGATGTTGCTAGGATACCCTGAGTCCTCTCCCTTTTTTGTTCTGATATCAGTGTACTATACCTGTAGCTTCACTGTGGCAGCCATTAAAGTGCTTCTCTGGGAAAGCTAGCTTTTCTACCCTCTGCCATGACTGAATGGCCACTTGTCTCTTGGGCTAAGGTGTCCATGTAAGTGGCCAATATGTGGGCCACTGAAAGTATGTAAGAATTTCCATTAGATCCAAAGTGTGCTGACACATCCCATGGTAGCCTAGGCCCAGTGACTGTGAAATACCTGAAATAGGTTTTGGCCATCTGGACGTAAGCATGTAACACAAGGAAGAGAATACTGACTAGAGAGGGACTCACCTCCTGAACCTACCTTGTGCAAGCTGTGTGACCCTAAGCAAATTTGCCTTTCCTCTCTGAGCATCAGTTTCCCTCATGCCTAAATGGACATCATAGTATCTAACTTGCAGAGATTTTGTGAGGATATGGAACATTGGGCCATGCAACCTATAGGGATTTAACATCCATAGTGCTCCAGGTCCTTATCTATAAGATGGGCATACATCGTCTTCTATTTCAATGTGATGATCTAAAGGCTAATGTAATTCTATATTCAAGGTGCGGATGACTGCACCTGACACACAGTGAGAATTTACAGAGGCCAGACTATGCTAGGACTTAGGATAACCACATGAGAAAGACATAAGCCTCCTGACCTCAGGACATCTACCTTCTTCTAGAGGGGCACCAGGAGAACCTCTCATGGGGAAGGTCACAAATAGGGAGTGAAACACAGCTTGAGTTGGGGAATAATAATAGCATTCTTACCATTGCTTTACTTTCCCAAATTTCATAGTTCAGGAGCTGGAGTGTATCAGTGGAAGGCAGCCTTGCCTGTGTTTTTACTTTGCCTTTTCTTGGTCAACTGAGAACAGTCTCAATTGCTGAAGCTGTGTGAGACCTAACTTTCATTAAGTTTCTCAGTCACAGGGCAGCATGTGAAACTCTGAATGTTAGAACTTCAGAGGCTGAGGTGAAAAGCCAGACCTCCGCTTCTTCACTGTAAATGGGCAGTACATATCTGTCAATCATTCAGATCCATAGATTTTTCTTCTCTGGGATGCCTGAACCTCCTCTCTCCCATTCCAGGTTATGTCGCTATGGGCGCCGTCCTCCCATCCTTCTGGGGCCAGCAGCCCCTCGTTCAACAGCAGATCGCCATGGGTGCTCAGCCACCCGTTGCTCAGGTGATGCCAGGAGCTCAACCCATCGCATGGGGCCAGCCAGGTCTCTTTCCTACCACCCAGCAACCCTGGCCTACTGTGGCCGGGCAGTTCCCGCCAGCCGCCTTCATGCCCACACAAACTGTTATGCCTTTACCAGCTGCCATGTTCCAAGGTCCCCTCACCCCCCTTGCAACCGTCCCAGGCACGAATGACTCTGCCAGGTCAAGTCCACAGAGTGACAAGCCCAGGCAGAAAATGGGGAAGGAAATGTTTAAGGATTTCCAGATGGTCCAGCCTCCACCAGTGCCCTCCCGTAAGCCTGACCAGCCCTCCCTGACCTGTACCTCAGAGGCCTTCTCCAGTTACTTCAACAAAGTCGGGGTGGCACAAGATACAGATGACTGTGATGACTTTGATATCTCCCAATTGAATTTGACGCCTGTGACTTCCACCACACCGTCCACAAATTCACGTGAGTGTCCTTTCGATAAGTAGAATGCCTTTTTTTCTGGTAACTAAGCTACTGGAGTCAGAGTCTTATCTCACTTGCATCTCAAGCTTGTTGATACTACTGATAACAGTTCCCATAGCGACCAACTTGGCTACCAGTTTTGGCACACACCCCCACCTCATTCTCTAGCTCTCTTTTTACATAACATTGATACCAAGTTGTCCTAGATATGTGTGACAGATAATGGCAGTAAGGTTCACAGACAATAGTACACAATGAGGTACACTGCACACAACATCACTGTGCTTCTTTTTGTTTTTTTTAAAGATTTTATTTATTTGTTATGTATACAATATTCTGCTTCCATGTATATCTGCACACTAGAAGAGGGCACCAGATCTCATTACAGATGGTTGTGAGCCACCATGTGGTTGCTGGGAATTGAACTCAGGACCTCTGGAAAAGCATGCTCTTAACCTCTGAGCCATCTCTCCAGCCCATCACTGTGCTTCTTATGGCTTGGTTAATATGTTCATTTGTGATTCATGTATGTATTAGCCTATGGCATACACATTTTAGCATGGCTTACTAAAATGAAAAGAAATGTCGTTTTTTTAAAGCAGAAACAAGGGGCCAGAAAAGTCTCAGAAGGTGAGGATGCTTACCAGTGAGCCTGAAGACCTAAGTTCAATCTCTAGAACTCACAGTAGAAGGGGAGAAGTGATTCCCGAAAGTTATTTTCTGACCTCCATGTACACACACACACACACACACACACACACACACACACACACAATAATGAAATTAAATTTAGAAACAGAGCTTATAGCCATGAGTTCATATCAGAGCCTGATGATTGTCACTCAGTAGAATGAGTGATAGATAGTAGATAGAATGTAGATAGATAGTAGATAGAATGTAGATAGATAGTAGATAGATAGATAGTAGATATATAATAGATAGATAGATAGATAGATAGATAGATAGATAGATAGATAGATAGATAGGTAGGTAGGTAGAATGAGTAGATAGAATGAGGATAGACAGCCTTGACTGGGAACAAGGAGTTCTCTTTATTCCCATTGACTGTGTGCTTTTGAGTAAGTTTTACCTCCATGGACTTTGTGGTTCTTAACTCTGTAAAGCCAGTTGTTTAAAGGCATTGTAACATGGAAGAATATTCATCATTGGGATCTTAGTCAGGAGATTGTACAGGCTCCTGGGTCAGTTTTCTAGTGCTGGCTCCATCATGGCAAGCTGTGTCTTAAGACAAATCAAGCCATTGCTCTGAGTCTCTGGATCCCTTGTAGGAGCAGCAGCTTCCTTCTGGCCTTAGCATTTGGGGATGCTGCTTCCACTTACTTTTCCCACTGCAAACACCAAAAATAGAAAGCTTGTTGACGAGTCGGGATCCAGACACACTTGAGCACGCATGTGCTTGTCAGACACAATCAGAAAAAGTGTTCCAGTGACTCAGCCTGTGCCTTGACAATTGATAAGGGGAAAGAAATGGCTCATAGTACAATGACTTTGGCGTTTTCATTACTGTCACCGGTGATACGGATCACTGGATGGCCAATACCATGAATTGTCAAAAAAAAATCTAATGTGAATACAATTAGATTGTGTCATTCAGCCAGGTTCAGAATGCTGTTCTGAAAATGAAGGCCTTGCACTCAGGCCATGGGTGCTACATAGCCAAGGCATTTCTATTAATTCTAATCCATGGGGTTTCAATAAAAAATAATGAATAAAAAATGAAATGCTAAAGAAATAACAGTCATGCATAAATGAACATGTGCTTTTAAAAGCACAAGTCTCATTTTTCAATGAACCATGGGCTGCCTACAAACAAGGAAGTTCTTTGAGGACAGGGACTGTCTTGCCATCATCCCCACATTTCTCAGAATACTAGCAGGGTGCCTGGCACATACAGATGTTAGGAAAGGTTGTAGAGAATAAAATAGACTGCCCAAAAGGCCATTTCACCATAACTGTCCTTGGGAGGAAGGTTTTGCCAGTGTATCCCTGCTGACATTTGGGGACAGATGTGTTGTAGGAGGCTGTCACATGTGGTGTAAGTACTTAGCAGCACTCTAGCTTCTGCCCAAGCAGATGTAAACAGCATCTTCATCCTTTTCTTCTACTCATGGCAGTCAGGGGGCATTGCCAATGTCACCTGGAAGGCAAAATAACCACCCACCTTGAGAAAACCTGGCCATCAAACACTAAAGTGCTCTGCAAAGCCTTGTGACAACTGAGAAGCTTGTGCAAATAAACTCTAGCTGGGTTCCCATTGGTTTGACAGGGGAAGTGAGAGCAGTATACTGTTAGGACTGATGGCTCGGCCTGAATTCTCTGCCTTTTGTAAGCAATAAGCCACTCCAAGCACAATTCAGAACCCAATTAAGTTGATATTACTCACTCAGCAATGTGTCTGTCTATAGCATTAAACCTAGTGGAGTCAACTCACAAAACAAGATATACATGTTTTATCTTACAGAAAATAAGTAAGGTCAGTTTTTGTATCCTCTTCTCTGTCAGCATTCCTTCAAGATGTGAGCAAGAGATTAGTTATTCAAAAAACAAAACATAAGAACAAAAACACTCTGAATAGAAAAGACTGAATAGTGTTAGATATATCTGTGCCGTCCCATAGGTCCTACTCATACCTGTGTAAATGTGAGTGCTTGCCCTTGCTCTTCTGGACTCTGGCTCCGAACACCTGAAGGAAGTGTGTAATACTTCATAATGAAGGGAAAGAGCTTGGTCAGTGTTAGCCTCGTTGGCATATTGTGAATGATAAAGGAGCTGGAAATTGTGCCTGTGAGGCAAAAGATCAACACTAACTTTTGCAATCATTCACTCACTTATAAAGTACCAGATTTTGCTAAGGTCTGGAACAGTGTGACAGGGAGCGCTTATCAATGGCATCGCTATTCACCTATTCAGTCACTGGATACCTGGGGACTAAGCCAGTGACCAGAGTTTCCTATGCTAAGTTAAAGGAAAAGCTTCCAGTGTCATCTGTAGTTGAAACCTCTAGGTCATAGCGGCAAGTGCATATTTTTCACAACAAGCTTGCTGTTGCCTGTGCTTATTAAACACTGAGTGTTTGCAAGAATGCAAAGCCTGGTTTAGCAGTTGCCATGAAGGTATTAGCAATCTCCAGTTTTCAGGAAAACATAGGTAACCTCTATCTCAACGAAGCTTTACAAGTTTGGGGACTATTGCCCTTACATTTTCTAACAGTGACTGATCTACGAAAGTCATTCAAAAAAAATGTGTCTTCTGCTAAAAAGAGAAAGTCAGCATTACCTAGCAGCTTGCAGCTTGCTCATGTGTCAGAAGCACTATAGGAGTTGTTCAGAGTTCCTGATTCAGTCACTGTCCTGTAGGGTTCAATGACTGGCATTCCTGAATAACCGTGGGACAAATTCAGGTGCATAGATTTGACCTGAGATGGGGAAAGGGGAGACTTGACTCAAATATAACGGGGCCCCACATACCTCTGCGGGATATAAATGGTTGTGGCTTATAATTCTTAACATTTCCTCTTTCGGCATAGCTCCAACCCCAGCCCCTAGGCAGAGCTCTCCATCTAAATCATCAGCATCCCATGCCAGTGATCCGAACTCAGATGACATCTTTGAAGAAGGCTTTGAAAGTCCCAGCAAGAGCGAAGAACAAGAGGCTGTAAGTGACCTACTGATTGCCCTACTTTTCTTTAAAATTAAAATTTCCCCATAGTATATGAGGATGCCAGCATAAAAGAGAATGGTTGCACAGAGCTGATGTTCGAACAGCCTCTGAAGGGACTTTGTTGTATGCTCAGATGCATCAGCCAGAAACACTGACCTTTTGTAAAGTTATTAGGAGCTCTCTCGCATCTGGGAGGTGGCATCCTCTGCGGAAGTTTCAGCCCTCCTGTAAATTAACTGGTTACATATGCCGCGTGAATATAATGTTAGTTGCCTTATGTTTTCAGTTGTTGAAGAGAGAAAAAAAAGTGTTATCTTCTTGTGTTCTAGCCTGATGGATCACAGGCGTCCTCCACCAGTGATCCATTTGGGGAGCCCAGTGGTGAGCCCAGTGGTGATAATATAAGTCCACAAGACGGTAGCTAGATAGCGCAGGTCTGGGTAGGTATCAGTCCTTTTTAATCCCCTTCACCTGCAAGGTTTTCCCTTTTGCTTGCTATTTACCAATGACATCATCTCCCAGTGTCTGTGCTTTGTCTGCTTGCCTGTGCTGTATATAGTATCCATACTCTCTCCCCTTGTCTGTGCATTTTCCTGATGCTTGCACTGTTTTTCATGCCTGTTACCATATTACCAATACTTCCTCGATCCTTGCCTGAGCCATCTCACCAGTTACCAGTGTTACAATCTCCCCTTGATTCATTTCTATTTTGCACTTTGTTTTTCACGTGGATGAATGAATGACCTTTGACATACACCAAAAGGTAGAGTTGGAGGGAATGTGGCAAATAGTTTTATTATTTAATGAATGATACCTTCTGACATTCTGAGTTGGTGACGGGGATAGGATGAGATCCAGTTAACACTACCTAATGTGGATTGAGCTTAACATTAGCCCTCTGGAATGAGCACATCATTCTCTTTCTTTTCTTTCTTTCTTTCTTTCTTTCTTTCTTTCTTTCTTTCTTTCTTTCTTTCTTTCTTCCTTTCTTTCTCTCTCTCTCTCGTACACACACATGCACACACACAGATGATTTCTCAGTGAGTGGTGCTCCAGATGCTTTACTCTTTTAAGCAAAATGTCACTGCATTTGCCTACATGCCACAGATCTAAAGAGGTCACTAATCAAACATACTGAGAACTCAGACTATGCAACAAAACAAGCCATGCTTGAAATAAGATTGATCAAAGTGTGCAGTCATAGTAGCCCTTCCCATCTATCCAAGAAGGGTTCTATACCCCCTTCCAGTGTGTCAGTGAAATTCAAGGCCCAAAGACATGTAGCTGTCACTCTGGAGGCACTGCTCTTTGCACCTGTGCTGCAGCCTGTGGTTTACTACCCGATAACTTCAGATTCCATCAGCAGCTAATTGGAGAGAGGCATCCTTACATTTACTAGAAGTGGCTTTTGGAACTCAACTTTCAAGACCTCTAATTCAATCAAAATAAAGACCTAATGAAGCTAACCTTCTCATGAGGCAGAAATACTCCTTGTTACTTAGATGTGATTTCTAAAGCCAGCTTTGACAAGCGTGTCAAATGTTCAGACATCTTCCTGGTTTTCCATAAACATGGAGGACTGCTAGGCCAAGCTCAAAGATTCCCTTAGTCCTGAACAGCATCATCATGGCCATGAAAAGGATGAACAGCTTTCACTGCTCAGAACTGGGTTCTGTGGCCACATCACAGTTATTCCTAGTATATACATGGGTCCTTAGGACAGTAATTGAAAGCTAATTCGGGGTTTAAAAGTACATTTTTAATAGATTTTTTTCATGATTAAAGAATTTAGTACATTATATGCTTTGTCACATTTTTATATCAGTAAAATGTAATGATACATCATATAAAGCCCAAATACCCATTTAAAAAGTCAATCTTTCACAACCACTTTGGGAATTAATCTCTTAAAGGCAAAGTCAGTGCTCTAAGGATGAGAAATGTTAGGGATTATAAGAAGATTCCTTGAGGTGATTCCAAGGAGGTTTTCTACCTCTTGTGTATGTAGTACTTCATGTGTTCAAACTTGCTGTAGAAAATTCGATGAATGAACTAGAGGTGATGAGATCCATTCATCACGATGATAGAGAACATTGTCCTAAATTGACATACTGCACAAAACAAAAATGGCTTACACCATTGGCAGGTCAACATCGCAAGCACTCATCTTCATCCTTACTTCTGGTTTGATGCACTTACACAAGCTGAACTGTTTCACAAGGCTTGGTTTATTCCACATTTGATGCTCCTCAATCCATAGCTGAGTTGCAAATGGTCATTACATGATGTTGTGGCAAGAGCTCAGGATTTGTGAGTTCAAATCATAGCCACATAAAAGTGGGAAATCTTGGGCAAGAGACATTCTTTAACTTCTGATTATTTTTCATTGCTAGGACAGGGTTATATTATCCTTGATATTAACTAGCATATCATAAGCCCAGACCTTAAGAATTCAGACTAAAATTTAGTCTGGTTTTGGGAGTAATATTGTCAGAGTTCAGAGCCTGGATTTCTCCTTCTTGTCTGCCTCACCTTGATCAGGATTTACCATTACTCTCTTCATTTGGAAAAATAAGGATACAAATAATGCCTGTCTTACAGAACATTTGGGTGAAGTAAAGAGGTGATGTATATGGAGTTCTCAATACAATGTCTGGCACATAGAATATCTGATAGCTACCATCATTATTACCACCCTTGTTATCACTAGCACCCTGCACCATCCTCACTGTCACCACATCATTAAAATTAGCATCACTATCGCCACCATCACCACCATCACAAATATTACCATTACTATTATTACTGCTGCCGTATTCATCACCATATCACTAGCAATACATATCAGCATCAGCACCACTACCATTACTGTAGTCATCCCACCATTATGACCACTCTTTTCACCTCCAAGACCACCTTCACTACCACCCTCCCCAGCACACCCATCAGCATTACAACTACTGCCATCACTATTGCCATTATCACCATAACCAATATGGTATGAATTCAATATATGCTGGTGCTCTATATTCTTAGATTTTATACATTTAGCCCCATGTTGAATAAAGTCAGTAACTAGGAGGTTTTGCTTGATATTTTCTGGTTTTAGATAATTTTTGGTATGCCCCATAATGACTAAAGCAGAGGGAGGGAGGCGAGGCCTTTCCAGTATCCCTATGACAAACCTTGCCCCATAATCAGAATAACTTCTATTTGAGCCTCCTAGGCCACCTCTCCCTGCCCTCCCCCACAAAAAAGCAATCTTGGGTTCATATGTAAATCACAGTAAGACCCTCTCAGCTTTGAAAGGAGCTAGATTATACTTTATGATGAAGCAGAAGTTCAGCCTGGCCATTTTACAGTTCCCTATCAGAAGCTGTGCAGTAGAGTTAATACCCACCTTGCAGATAGGTCCCCTATGGCACCCATGGGGAAACTCATGTGACTCTTTGTGTCCCTCCATCAGTATCAAAATTGCACAAGCCAAATGTGATCTTTCTGTCTCCATCCCCTTTACTCATAAGCAACTGGAAATTTACTGACTGTAATTTCTGAGAGCTTTTGCAGACACTTGGAAAAAGGATTCCGTGCAGAGATAGTTGTGTCCTTGGCTTTATTTTCCCCTCTGCTGTCATGCTGTTGGAAAGCAGAGTCCCTATCCTTCTTATCACTCCTGCAGCCACTATCTCCAGCTGTTTTTTTTTATTAGAAATAGCCACCCAGTTCTGAGTAAGCAAGGATGACATCTGTTGATAAGTTAAAGCCATATCACTCCAGAATAAAGAGACTCAATCCCCACAGGTGGAAGCTTCAAGGCCAATACCAAATGTTTCTGTTTTAGCAATAAAGGAAAATATCTTCAATTATTTCATGTTTTCCTCTTACCTTCCCATCTGAGAGAATCATGTGTTTTTGAAAGACTGAGTCAAGAGGGGCCAAAAAAAAAAAAAAAAGGACCAAAATAATATTATAATGGCTGGTGTGGGAATGGCAGGTAATTTGTACTTCACTGATGTGTTGCTGGAGCAATTTTAAGGGCAAAATGTTAGCCTTTGAAGGGATGAAAGAAAAATGAAAACATTTATTTAGTTAAATGGCTAAGTAAATATACTGCCTATCAGACTTTCCCAGCTGTCAAGTCAAAGTAGCATCTGTAACAATGGCAATCGTTTGGTCTGTCTCCCTTTGTAACAATAGATACTGCCATAAATAATAAGTTGCTGTCACTTTTTTAATACTGATCTCTGTAGTGGGAACCCAAGGCCTATAAAGTATTGCCTGATAGATTCTTAGTGTTAAGGGAAAAAGAAAGATGAGCTTCCAGTGCTTTGGGAAGAGTAGATATTTGGTTTTGCTTTTTTGTTTGTTTGTTTGTTTTAGTAAATGAAAGAGAGAAAACAGAGGGTCATATTCAGAATAAGGCTGAAAAGCAAGTGACCTTAGGCAAGCATGTCTCTCCTCACAAGTACTGTAACAGTGGTCTGTCTAGGCTTTTCAAGGATCACATGATATGAGTATGAAAGTCCTTTGGGATTTGGGGAAATCATTTAGTGGGACAATGCTTAACATGATCCCCAGCAGCCAAATATAAAGCCAGGCATGGCGGCATGCACTTGCAATCGCAGTGCTAGGAGGTGGGGACAGAGAGATCCTTGGGGCTTGATGGCCAGCCACTAGCCTAATCACTGCAAACCAAGTCCCAGTGAAAAACCCTGCCTCAAACAATAAGGTGGATGGCTCAGAAAGAACAACGCCCAAGAGTGATTTCTGACCTTCGTCCACACAGACCCATACACACATCTGTTCACATGAACGTACATATACATGCAAGGTAATTTAGAAAGTCTCAAAGTTAAATAAATGTATTTGGTATTATTATCATTCTTCCAAAATTTCTTATTCAACTTTGTAGCTTAGATTGGCCCCAGCTTCACAGTCCTTCTGCCTCAGTCTCTGAGTGCAAGGATTACAGCCACATACCTAAGCATTATTCCCTTTTAAAATAGAACTGAACAACAGAACCTTAGAAGTAATGTATTTGTTCATTCATTAAAAGCTGCCTGTTTGGTGAATGCACAAGTTAGAAGCAAGTCTAGACTAAGTTTTTGGGGCTTTCATGGAGGGCCATTCTTTGATGTCCCCAGCTGGAAAACATTTGAAATAGGAGAAATTATCTGGGTCTGGCTAAAGGCAGGGTCTGCTGGAATGGAGAGACATTCCTGTTGTCAAGAGGTATTTAAAGATGAAGTTGACTGGATGAGACTGAGGAAATGGGGGATGCAGAAGGGGAGATGAGCTAGGTTCTGACATGTGGAACTAAGTTGTACCGGTTCTGTAGAGCACAGAATAGTGTGCTAAGCAGGAAGCAAATAAGTATATACTGGGACCAGCTACGCTTGAGGTACTCAAGAGACAATCAACTAGA